CTGCAGCTACTTTTCGTGGACAGGAAGATGACCCTGGCCACCGCCCGTATGATTGCTACGCTTACTGCGCAACTGGAGCTCCCCTCCGCCATTGTCACGAGCTGCGACGTCTCTCGCGGGACGCGACTCATCGACTTCACGGCTTCCCCTTCGACACGACCTTTCCCGGTTGCTCCGGCGACGACACGACCACTCCGGCGGCGGTTCCTCCTGCGACATCTATTCCGGTTGTTGGGAAAACGCGCAGTGGTACAAAACGTGCTCACGCGGAGCCGGCCACGACTACGCAATCCACTACGGAGGATCCTCGGCCTCAGCCCCGTCGTCGTGGTCGTCCCAAGGGTACAGGCAAAGTCACCTACGAGGCGGCGGAGGTTGCGGTACGTCCCGGATTCAATTCTCCTCTTTTAACCGTGGGGGTATTTACTCCTTCCCTAGTGTCGAGGTTGCACTGCGCGGAATATACAGTGTCATGCGCCGGTGTCCGGTAACGCGGAGGCGTGTCAGGAGTGCGCGCAGAAGAAGACTCGGTGCAGTTTTGCGGATGAAAAGGGCATGCAAGTGGAGAGTACCGGGGAGTCGGAGGACATGGGTGAGGTGGTAGCGACCGGACCGCAGGGGAGCCCCAAGAAACCTCGCCTGCATCTGGATAGTGTAACCAGTAAGCCTTTAGCAACCTTTTTCGTGTCGATGGCTGATCTTATGCTGGTCCCAGAAGTCGAGGTCCCTCCCCGCCCTCGTCCCAAGGGGAAGGGCAAGGCCACTGCGTCAGCCGACGTGCCTTCCGCCACGCAAGGGCCTTCCGCGGCTCATTCATCCAATCCGCCACCGGTCGCGCCTAGTCCCGCCGTATCCCTTCTTGAGCTCGGCCCGGAGGTATTTCCTGTCTCTCGTACGCCCAGCTCCGACCACTCGCTGCTCTCGCTGCTTCCCCGTGCTGACCAGTCGGCGGAGCAAATATCTCGGCTCGCGCGATCCGTCGTTGAGCTGCGGGAGCAGTCACTCACTATGCGGGAGAGCTCCTTGAGGCTGCGCGAGGAGACGGCGGAATTGCGGCGCGGAGTGGATGATGTGCGGAGGCAGCAGCTAGAGCTCCGCGGCGCTATCGAGGAGGTACGCGAGGAGATTCGACAACTCCGCGTCGAGCAAGGTAATGTGGTGATGGATCTGGGCCTCTTGCGCTCCCATTCGCAGGTTTCGTTCCGGACCCTGCAAGAGGAGACTCAAGGGTTAGATCGCCGCCTTGCTGTTGTGGAGGAGAGTCTCGGCTTGTCCGAACGGCCGCCTGGCACTGAAGGGAGTCCTGAAGTCGAGGAGGATGCCCATGGCTCGACTCCGGGGTCCTCCGCGTCGTAAGTGGTTTTTCTCCGGTAATGCCTCTCCGCGTCCACTTTGCGTGAGCTGTATAATGTAATAGCTTGTTGTGGCTGGCCTTTTTCATTCGTGCGTCCTTGCGAAATGTACTTGTATTTGACTCCGGCGTTGTACCCGTCTTTTGTATCGTGCGAATTAAAATATGATCTCGTCTGTCCATATATAAAGTGAGCGGAGTAAAGAATAAATTCGAAACAATTGTTCGATATGAGAAGAAACGCTTAAAAGATTTTGGTGTTTATGCGGTGAGATCCAGTAAAACGAACGTTTGAAACAAAAGAAAGAAAGTCACATAGCTTGGTAACCCGGATCGAGAACGTTGGCTGATTGTCTAAAATAGTTCAAAAGCGGAATAAAATAGAGCGAGTAAAATGCGAAACATTTGGGTATATGGGGCACACCATTCCTCCCCCGGACTAAAATCGGAACTGTCCGCAGTTCCTCCTATGAGATGTCGCCATCCACTGAGTCTTCGTCATCTTCATCGTCGCCATGATCGTCCTGTTCTTCCATCCTGTGAACCTGCGCTTCTCCGACATCGGTAAAGTCCGCTGGGAGGGTAATAGATTTTCGTGCCAGGTAGGGAATGACTCGGAATGCGGCGAAGGGTCGGTCGAAGAGCGTACCATCCAATTCAGCGAGAATATAAGCACCGCCGCGGTTCCGGGACACCGTAATGAGAGGTCCGAGGTATCGTGGCCGCATTTTGCGATTGAGGGATTTTTCGATCTTGGTATTCCGGACCAAAACCAAATCGCCCCGTTTAAAATTAAAGTCCCGGATTGTAGCCGCATGGTCTCTCTCAAAACGACGCGCTGCCTCGACACGGTGCTGGAGAACCCGTGAGTGGAGATGTTCAACCTGCGCGTCCCGCTTTTGCAAGGCTATTGCACGGCGGACAATTAGGTCTTCGCTGGAAAGAATAGACGTCGGAGAGGTTGAAGATATGTTGCCTCAATATGTCCAGGGGAATAAGTGGATGTGAGCCAGTGACGGCAAATAGGGGGAACAGCCCATGCGCCTCCTAATCGTGATCCGTTCGGACAAATTACGGAGTGAAATACCTGAGACCATCGAGCAGC